TACCAAATAAAGTTTGTGTATGGTTTGTTTTATGAATACGTCTTTAAGGAACATTTATAGCCACTGTTGTAGCTTGGTGAGACAAGTTAATTCCTTCAGATAGCACACAGAAATCTATATTTGGTAAACTTACAAGTTGTTGTAGTCTTCTGAAGGATGCATAACCTTGTTTAAGACTTATAATAAAATGGTTATAAAATGGAGAAATTCTTTTATGGATTCAGGGTGATGCTGGTGTTACTGGTCGAAAGATCATTGTGGATACTTATGGAGGCTGGGGAGCCCATGGAGGTGGTGCTTTTTCTGGCAAAGATTATACGAAGGTGGATCGATCAGCTGCATATGCAGCCCGTTGGGTGGCCAAGTCTCTCGTGACAGCTGGGCTCTGTCGGCGTGTTCTGGTTCAGGTATAGTTTGCCGTGCGTGTTCCTTTGCTCAGAAACATATTTCCTTTTCAAATTTACCTTGAATACACATCATACAAGGCACTAGTTGAAGCAGTCTTGGTGATAGCTTGGGGTTGAAAAAAGGAAGACCCTGATGTGCTTGGTTCAAGACCACTGTAATGTCACGGCCTATCAGCTCCTTGAAGCTGGAAATTTTCATTTAGCTTTCATTTTATTGGCTGTTATTCTGGAACCTTAAACCCTCTGACACTTACTGTCATGGAAATTAACATGGGTTGATTAGGTAAAGGGGAAGAAAGTTACCCAGAGATCTTAGCATTTTCAGAGTTTTATCTTTTTTCTTTTTTTTCCCTACAAATACAAATTGTGCAAATGTGGGAAGTGGAGAGGTCTTAGTTCTCCTAAGATGAATGCTTTCTTCTGTTGCATACTACTGCCCACTGAGGTGCCATGTTTATTTGCTAAATATGTTATCTTTTTTTGCCATAGGTTTCTTATGCCATTGGGGTTGCGCATCCACTGTCCATTTCACTGTTCACTTATGGAACTTCCAAAAAAACAGAGAAAGAGCTGCTGGACATTGTGCACAAAAACTTTGATCTTCGGCCTGGAGTCATTGTCAGGTACAGAAACACACAAAAAGGAAAATATCTTGGTGATCACAGCCTAGAAACAATTTGTTGCAAAAGCAGTAGAAGTTCTCTTGAACTAGCATAGGATTGTTTCATGCAGTATAAAAGAGTCTTTCTGTCATTCTGTCAGTCTTCACAGTTGATACTCCATGCATCTACTGATGTGCCATATCTTTTAAGACAGCAGATCTTTTTAAGTTAGCAGATCTTTTAAGACAGCATATCAAGCAGATGTACTTTTCAAGTTTCATATGAAACATATACTTTCAGAATTTGGCCTGATATAGTATGTGGAATTAAAATAGAATAATATTTGTATTCCAAGAATTTTAAGTTACTGTGAAAAAGTATATATTTTGTTTTACAAAAGGAACTGAAAAATATTTTATCTTTCCCATTAAAATTAGTAATTCCTAACAAGTCTTTTCCTGAGGCCTAAAGTACTTCACGTTTAAGTTTTGTTGTCATTTTTATTGTTCTCTATTGGACACGTTCACTGGTATGCTTGCATTTCCAGAATATGCCTGCTTGATTAAGGGTGTGAAATGGAAATAAACATCAGGATTTTAATGGTAGTTACCATGAAGTATCTTAATGTGAAGAATTTTCTCTTCTTTTTATTATACACACAGGGATTTGGACCTAAAAAAGCCCATTTACCAGAAGACTGCCTGTTATGGTCACTTTGGAAGAAATGAATTCCCATGGGAGGTGCCTAAAAAACTTGTGTTTTGATAGTAGCAGCCATCCTTTGAAAACAAAAAGGAAGAGGAGTCCACTAATTATGAGGATGCAAATCTGACAGCTTTGTATTCAGCAAAAGGAATTTTAGATTTTAAATTCAAAGAAACAAAAGGATATTTTCTTGGAAATTGATTATTTTTAGCCCTCAGTGTCTTTCATTATCTAAGATATAAAGACAGTCTGGGTTTTTTATTTTAATCAGCATAAGACAACAAAATACAGTTTACTTTTTATTGCTGCTCTGTTGGTTCTTTTGATAAAGGCAAAGTATGACTCAGGTACGCAAACCAACGTCTGAACCTCAAACCTGTCATGGGCAAAGACAAGATGACTTTCCCAACTCTGACTAAAGATCAGCAGATCTCTTGCTTCTAATTAGACAATGGGAAATTCTGGGGTCCAATTTCCTTTCTGGAGTTTGCATTGCATACAGCTGGGGGTTGCTTTGGTGGGAGAAGGCTGAATATCACGTAACTGTATCTCAGCCTCTTTTGTAGAAGATGTTAACATACATATAATATTTAAACCACCTTCGTTGCATATGTGCTGTTACCGTTGTGTTTCAACTACCTGTGTTTTTGAAACATAAGTGTTCTCATTTAAAATATCAATCGGTGAATAAAAGGCTTTTTCCTACCATGTATGTAAAGGTGCCTCTTTTCCTATTCCTTTAATATTAAGGTCCATCTCAACTCAGCCTCTTACACTCTTGAAGGACTTTAGTTTACCGAGGTAATTGACTTTTATTAGATTTTGGAACTGTGATACGAATTTATCTTTCACTACCTGTGTGATCTCTGTTTAGTTCTTGTGATTAATAGAAACTTGGTGAAAAATTATTAGCTTCTTATTTTTGACTCTCAGGTTTATGCTATTCAGTATTCTCTCATAATTTTTGCTCTCAAACTGCTAGGTTTATTGCATGCCTTACTGGGTTTGATGTTCTTGTAGAATAAAATAAAGTGCATAGAAATAACTGCAAAACATCAACAAATATGTATAGCATGAGGTTAAAATTTGGACCACTATCCTGCCCAGCGGTGTCTCACCAAAGAACTAGCCGCTAGATGGCTGTGTGTCCCAAAGCTGTGGGAGCCAGTTCGTGCCAAAAACATGTCCCTGTTTCTGCCGGTATTCAGCTTACTCAGTTTGAGTACCAGTACCCTGTTACTCCTGATGCAGATAGTGACGTGCATAAGTGGATTGGATATGATCTAGACTTAGGACAACTACTTTTTGCAAAGGACTTTGGATTAATCCCAGGTTTGTTTAAATTGGGAGAGTGTTGAGATCACATCCTCTCTAATCAGCTTGGTTTGTCAAAAGGCAAAAAGGATGAATGCAATCCTGCAGTACAAGGGTTACATACATGTGGCCCCCAAAAGTCACCTAATCCTAGCTTTGTGGTGTAAGCAGCATCCTGTTAAATCTTTTACACTGGAGAAATGCTGCCACCCCATGTTTCTTTCCACTTTGAACAATGTCTTCCAAAGAGCTGTTGAGATGGAGAGTGCATGAATGTGATGATCATGAAAGAAAAGCTGCCATTCATTCTCTTCAAGTATGTCACAAACACACAGACTTCCATTCAAAACAGAAGTTGTCCCACTTTATTAACAATGTGTAAGTGGAGATTAACAAGTAGTAGGTTTATGTGTAATCCTCCCCTGGACTTACAGCATTAATCAGTGGCTCTCATTGGACATCTGGATATAGCTTGGCAGAAAAATATCTTAAAGTGCAGATGCATCATCTTAAAGATTTTGTTGGCAAAAATTTCCTAGGTACAGTTTTCCCTACTGCATATTGCTCATCTTGCAAAGGAAAAAGAGTTGTGTGTGTCAGCTTAAAAAATATAAACTGCTTGGAAGCAGGTCCTATTGGTCTGCCTAGAAATATAAACCTTGGCCTTCCTCATGAAAGACTGCCTTTGCTAATGAACTTTTAGCTAGCAGTAATATATATACAAAGGCATTTTACTACTAACAATAGGGAAGCCACCATACACACCGCCACAGAACTGTTTTGTAGAACTGTTGCAGTCTTACACATTCCTGTTTATCAAGACTTCCCTGAGTTGGCATAAGAAGGCGTACCTTCATTGATGTGATGGAAGCCTTGCCACTTCTTCAGAATCTCCTGCTCATGATGTGTTATACTACAACTAGCAGAAGCAAATGAATGAAAAATAAATGATACCTGGAAAAGTGCTGTATAAATAAACGTGTTCCATAACATAGCATGAAATCAGAATGTCCTATCTCAACAAAAACAAACATTTGCAAACAATGCGAGCAGCTCTGTTCTGCTGGTAATAATAACAACCATTGAAGAGGTTGTTGGAGAGGGAGCATGTGTGTCCTTTTGGTTTGGTGGGTATGCAAGGTCAGTGTGGAGACTTGAAAGTAGGGGGTGTGTGATAGGCTGCTGGGTGAAAGGCCGTGACTCTTGTGTTTTACAGAGGGTCAGTCACATCCCGAACACATGAGCGTTATCTGGGAAATTGTCTTAATCTGCTAATGAATGTACAGGGTAGAAATGACTGAACTTCCGTGACAATTCAGCTTTTCCCATAAATGGATATAAGCAAATGAGATTTGTGCTGCCATTTAAAAAACCCTCAAACCTACAAGTAGACATACCATGCAGCTGCTAATACAGCATGCACACAGCAGGTATGCAGTTGGTGATATAATATACATAGAAAGTAGGTTGTGTTCTTGGGACTTCTTTTTTTTTCTCCTTTCCTTTTGTGCTGCTGTTGCTGCTTTGGTTAATCTGTATTTAATAACCCAGAAGCTGGAAACTTGCTTTCCTTACCAAGTAGCTAAATTCTGTGTTCTACAGGATATAGAGCACATCCCCTTGTTCCAAGTCAGTTTAGCCATCATTTGATGTATCTCTTCTTGGAGAAGAGATACAGGGTTGAGTCCTGTAGGTAAGGCATAATTATGTCCTCTATATGAATGTGCAATGTGTTTGTAAGAAAGAGAAACAGACACAGACAGAAGGGGGAAGGCGAGGAAAGAGCAAGAGCATTCAAGAGTGTGCATACACTAAATATGTTTACAGTAAACCGGTTAATCTGAAAGCCAGACAGCCTCAGTGCTGTACTGAGAGACCTCCCCTTGCCTTCCTAAAACTATGCTGTCGAAATCTCTGCTGGCTTCCCAGCAAGTTGGGCAATATGTGTATCTCCCCAACGGCTTATCACAGCACTGCCCTGGAGCAAGGCACACTGTAAACAACCAGTGACCCACCTACATGCAGCCTCGCGCCTGCCCCCGCTGCTTCAGCTCTTAAGGTCCACAGGCAACAAGTAGCTAGCCCCTGGTCTCCTGCAAAACAATGCCATTCAGCTCCTGCCCACTTTGGAAAACACTGGGTTTTATAAGCTTAGCAGTGCTTCTTGCAGGTAAGATATGCTATTCCTGTGATATGACTCACAGTTATTTAAATAGTGGCTGTTTTTCTTAGAGAAATAAAGCATCCCACTTGGGAACTCAGCCCTGGGTGGCCACAAACAGGCAGGCACTCAGCTTGCTAAATCAGCCTTTGTACAGTTTATTCACATTTGAGCCCTGATCACCAAAGGTAGAAAAGGTAGCACTGGGACTGCACAATTGCCATAAACAAGTACTGTTATGTGGTATTTGGGGTTTGTTCATGTGTTAGGACGGATTATAAACCAGCTACATACCTGCTTCTGTTTGTCTTTCAGATTTTACAAAAATTGGAGCTTTTGCTAATCCAAATGAATGTAAAAGTGCAACCATAGATGATGTCAACGAGAGTCTTAAGGTAAGAGGGTAGCTGCATCGGCCAGCCCAGGTCCTGCTTTACATGCACAGTCTGTGGTGGTGGTAGGAAGAAGCAGGACCCGAGCACAACTTGCATATTGCTTTGGTGACACATGGTTTGAAACAACAGTACATGACCCAGAGGGGAGTAAGATGGATGAGCAAAAAAAGATCAGTGTCATTTCACTTATGTCTTTGGCCCTGCTGCTAGTCAAAAATACACACTTTTAAGGTGTATTTTCCAGTTTTGCTTTGCTCCAGATATAAAAAGTGACTTGAAAATAAACAGTTATGTCTTTTGCTTTACAAGAATAATGCTGTTTTCAATACTTCTATTTATTGTTTCAAATATAAAGTGCTAGATTTTTTAAATGCAAATAAAGCCATCTATGTTTTATGAGTTAGTGCCCTTGTCTTCTATGGGCTAAGCCTATCTACAAGGGAGTGATCAGACAATGACCCTTGAATACAACAGAAATGGTAAAGAAACACCAGAGCAGAGTATATAAAAAAATGTTCACACACAGCCGAGCCACTTGTCTGTAAAACAGTAATGTGGAACTAATGGCTGGAGTTGGGTCCTTGTACCAGTACAAGCTGTGAACTTCTGCCTGTGGTGTCATTCTCATCACTTGGGAGGGGAAGGCTGAGGACAACACTTGCCAAGGAGGTGTTCTCCCAGGTGTGTCTGAGTTTCCCCCCCCCCCAAGATTTTAATTATATTATTTTATTTCTATGACTGATGTCCATCATTTTCAACAATAATTCTTCAGGCTCCAGCCTGAGAATCAGAGTTAGCCATTGCAGGCTACTGATTCAGCAGCTGTCACTGAAAATTTGACTTGCTCTTTTTCTTGCATGCGAGTTCAAAGTGACTGGTGTCTGTTATAATGATGGCATTCACTGGTGTTTCAGTTGTGGAGTTTAGCATGGCTCTGCAGTAGGCACATGTGTATAGGCACACATATATGGAGTGAAAGCTATTTACACATGTATACATCAATACCCAGTTAAATATAGGAATGTGATCACAAATATATATTTCTACACACGCACAGAGAAAGTGAGATATCAGCATTCAGCAGATAAGAATAATAACCTAACGTTTCATACAGACAGAAGATACATACGATTGTTTGTAAAGGTACCATTTCATATATAAGAAAAAAAGAAACAACTCGCATCAGTTCTCCCTCTTGAACTCAATATAATGGAAAAAACCTATATAGCCACCGTTGTAAAAAAACATTGCTTGATTTCTTCCAAAAACATTGTGGGGTAATTAGCATTACTTACAGCTAGATCATTTTCAAGATGTTTCTTGTTCTGCATAAAAAAAAAAAAAAAAAAGGAAAAAATTGCCACTTTCATGAATTAATTCCAAGGCCTTTCCTCTTCAACTTAGCTGTTTTCTTCCCTAACTCCACAGAAATATTCAAACTGTTTTCATGAAATGATCCCTGAGAGTAAAAAATCTTCAATCAATTTCCTTGTCTGGACACTGCAAGAAATGCTTGATCTTCTACGCCCTGTACAACAGAAATGTGAGGCTCCTCTTGAGGCGATGCTCCTCTCTGCTGGGTGTTGAACAAAGTGGCAGTGGAGAAGCACTAACAAAATTTCTTAACCTACAGTCAGAGTGAGCTAAGTGTCTGCATGTCTTGAAGGGGGCAAAGAATAAGATAAAAGGCATCTCAGCAAAACAAGGGTGCTTAACCACTGGGCTGGCAGGCATCTGGGGGGCATCGCAGCACCAACGCGTGGGGTCCCACCATTCCCACAGCCCAGCTTTCAATGCTGAGCTACAGCTCATAGTCATAGAGGCAGCAAGACCTGCTCTGCCCTCCAGCAGGAGCCTCTTTTGTGTCTGGCAGTGGGCATCAGTCATATTTTTCAAAGAAATATTTGGATAATTTGTCTGCAGTAGCACTGAATGCCAGTGCTGTGAATGCAAATACCACTTTTAAGGTGTAACTTGGGCTGACGGGGACTTTGTTGTCACAGTGACAAGTGATGGAAAAATTGTGTGTTGCCAAAAAGAAAGAAAGAAAGGTTTTAAACAAAAGAAAAAGCTTACTTTGACAAAATCAGCTAGTGAGGCAGTTATCACTTGTGCCTGGGTCAATGAGTATGCCTGTGGTCTGGTTGGGAAGTGGGGGATGATAGGCTTTTATACTCACTTGCACTCTGATGGGTTGTTCTTTCACTCTCTTTTTTTCTTTTCAATCCACTCAAAAGCTTGCAAGCAGCTTCCTCCCTGCCCGCTCCCACTACCCCCTAGAAACGGCGGGCTGGTGTGTGTCACCATTGACAATGCTCAGTACTGTAAACCCATGTGCAACAAGGTAACATTCATGGTTTACTGGTGATATATTGCTGCATCTATTCATTAATGTACAAGTGTTTATTGTGTAATGCATAATTTTCATTGTTATACTTTTTTCTCCCTTAGGGCAGGGAGGGGTTGTAGTATTTGCCTAGACCTTCACTGGCTAAGTGTTTCTTCACCTTACAGTTACCATGATGTAACCTAAGACACCGTTTGTTTTTTTTATCTTTGCTTACCAAGGGTTATGACTTCCAGTTCCTCAGAAGGAGTAGACTGTATGAAGTATGTGGCAACAGAACCGGTTTTTCCTGGACAACACAGCTTGCTGGGGAAAAGGCACTGGCTGTTTGTAACCGTGAGTACTTCTCAGACACATCAAGTCACAGAGATGGTAGTCTGTTTTGTTTAAAGAAAGGAAGAAAGAAGAGTCTCTCTTCTTGATATGTGTAACAACCTTGGCCTGTATGACAACCTTGGCCTGTGTGACAGTGTAGGAGCTAGTGCTGGGCTGGAAACTGCTGAAGGAGAAATCATGTTAGCTTTAAAACTAACACTAAGGCCTGAGCATTGCTGTTTCAGTCTGGGGTAGCAAACATGACATGTAAGCAATGTTTGTGGGGAGATGCACCTTTTATTTTTTAAACAGTAAATAGGTGTCATCCTAACACAACCCCTGTACTGCACAAGGTCTGTGTGATCCTCCTGACGGCAGTGAAACATAAAACTGCTCTTTATCTTGCAACAGTACTTGGAAGAACCTCAGTAAAATGGGTCAACACCTGCACTATTCACTGTTTGTACATACAATAAAAAACAGCAGCTGGTCTCCAGCCAGCAGTGCTACCTTTTTCATGTGGCAGCCCAAGGGTTGTAAGACTGCTCTCATTGCATCCAGTGAGCAGTCTGTGACCTGAAGCAGGCTGTCGGAATCCGTTATTATTGAGATAATTTAAAAATAGATGTGTGTACAGATACACAAAAGGACCAACCTGTCTTTCCTATGGTTAATGGAAAATATTTTATTTTTAACAGTGCCTTCTTGCTAGAGCAGTTTTTCCCCAAGGGTTACCAAAAACAATCATCTAGGCACTTTTATTCCAAGTTGAATTATTTAGTCTGGTAACTGGTGCTTGTTTAAACATCAGGACAAATCTCAGCCAAGGAAGTCAACTCCTTGGGGATTTTGGGTTTTTATTTTCATTTTCTTTTTTAATCATCTTTGATCTTCCAGCCTCTGAGATGGCCATCAGTGGAGCTGAATCTGCCTATTTCCCCACCAACAGCACCTGTCTGCGCACATTAGCCTTCACTGAAACTCAGACTGATCAGCTAAACACGTTCCTCAAAGAGCTTGGCGAGCAAGGCATTGACGGCTCCAACCGTGACAAGGATGCTGATTGTATCATCTGTGGTTACTAGCACCAAAAATGCTTGTGCTACAGACCAACCAGCCATCTGCAATCTGACATGGGCATTTTGACAAGAGATGCAGATCAGTGAAATCATTGCTAAGACGTGTAAACATACAGCTTTTATTCGATTAAAGAACTAGAGATCATAGTCCTAATTTGACCTCAGCTCTTGGATACAGATATGTAGGCTAAACCTAATCTCATAGCTCATGGCAGAAGTGTTTCAAAGAAAGTTCACTTTTATGGCTTAAATTTATCTAGCTGGAATTAAATAAGAAACAGAGTTGTTTCATGGTTGCAGTCATTAGTTAAACACAGTAATTTTTACCGGAAATCATCTTCTGTCAGGTGTTAGTTTTACTTTACTTCTAGTTGCTTTTACAGGTGCCAATTAATCACTGATTTGTTTCTCTGATGACCATTAAAGCAGTGCAAGTCACTGGTCATAGGCAGTACAGTTCTTTATTCATGTACCTGCTTGGTTGGGGGTTAAATCCGGCTGTACATACAGCTGTTCAAGGTGCTGTGATTTGCACGAACTACAAACTTAAAGCACTGTAGTTTGCTGGTGGGACAACTCTAGGGTTTCTCCTGTATTTATCATCTTGAGGAGATCCCACAGAAAGACACAGACACTAGGTATACTGCAATGCACTTCTAGGAGTCAAGAAGCACCCTATATGCTTGCTGTAACCGAGCAAAATGGCAGGGAAAATGTACTATCTCAGTTCAGTACATGTAAGAAGTGGGTTAGCCCTAAACTAGCAGATATTTGCATCGTGTCTCCTCTGCCAAAAAGATGAAAGTGGTGGGTGTTGAGGGACCTGCATGAGAAGCTCTGTAATTTGTGTCCCAGGGATCTGCCTTCAGTCTTCTCTGTTTAGTTCCTGTGGGGCAAAACCGCAGTGGTTCTGGCAAGAAAGTTCTCTTGATCCTTGATTTGTTCTAACAGCTATGTCTGCCCTGTGGGGTGCAGGGCTGCAAGTGCTCTTCTGCACTTACACTTCCTTGCACAACCTGGGTGTATGTGATGCATGCACTTGCAACGCCTTCCTCATATGGAGCCTATAGCTATCACAAGGTCTGGCTTGGATTCACAGGTAAAGTGCAAAAGCAAATGAGGTCTGGTTGTAATAGAGTTGGGATGGGCCATATTTAGGGTAGAGCTCTAGGGACTGATTATCGGGCAACCTGCTGAGATGCTCTGGTCTCAGTGCCGTAGTGGTGGGCAGCTGCTGGTCCTAGCCCAGTATGTTCACAGCATCTGGCCAATAATCCTCCTCACTTTCCCCCGTTCCTTTTATTTCTAAACCTAGTCTAATCTGGGGCAAGTTTGGCTGTTGCCAGAGTTAGCAAAGGTTTTAGCTGGTCATCCGAATTTGTAACAGCTCTAAACAAGAACAAATATCCAAGTGATTTTTTTTCTGTGGTTGATTCCTCTCATGGCATATAAGACCATTTGTTCCTACTCCAGTCCCCATTCCTCTGTGAGCTCTCCCTCTTTTACCCCCCCACCCCTCACTCCCCATGTGCATGTGTACTCTGGAAAAACAGAGGCACAGAGTAAGAAGTGTGAAGGGCAGAAAATCCCAGCCGTTGTCCACCTGGCAGTTGATGCAAGTTAAGACAAAAGACAACTTAGCCCTGGTGATTCAGTTTACTTGTGGAGCTGTAGTAACTAAACGTATGTGCATGTGGATTATTAGGAAATCTAAACAAAAATCTTAGTTACTGTTTACTTGGTTTTCAGTGGAATCTGTGCTTGAGGTTTTGTTTTAATTTTCTTCTCTTGAGCAAACCCTGAAGCCATAGATCTGAAGACAGCCAGCTCATCTGTTTGTGTTTCCTTTCTCTTCTTCACCTTTTCCCTATTCCTGTGAATCTCAGACACAGGCATCATAACTACATGGTGCATGATGTATAATAGACCTTTACTTCATTAATCAGTTAAATGATTCAGATATGTAAAACTACACACATCTTTCAGACTCTGATGCCAGCCATTACAAGCAAAAAAAATTGGTTGCTTTTAGGCCCAGAACCAGACAGTAATATGACGATGAGTGTAGCAGACAATTACACCAACAAAGGGATGAGTTGGCTGCTTTGGTTGCTTATAAACTGAGGCAGTAACTGGTCATTGTGTTGGAGGCAAAAATGCTGCAGTCTTAAGAAATGTTTTTTCAATCACCGATTTTTTTTATTTTTATTTTTTAATTTCTGGCAAACAGATAATGTCTATCGCATGAAATTATAGTATCTTTGAGGTTTTGATTTCCGGCCAATTCATTATCAGCTGATGCTCAAATAAAGTATCTGAAGAGTAAACACGTTCCAGTGTCATTTTCCTACTGGTGCTAAAAAGCATTTTCCTCTGAGTTGTTAGGTTATTCTCATGACTTTCCAAACCAGCCAACAAAAGAAAAGAAATCCAGTACTGGATTTCATAAGGAAATAAAGCCCATTGCTCTTGTAAACTAACAGAAACTGTCAAATCTGTGCATCAGAAATCCTGCTAGTGAGTGTCCCACAGTGCAAAAGAATTGGGGTGGAAAGCTTTCATTTGATGTGGCATGAATGTGATGTTAAGCTGGAGACTGCATTGTTGGGCTTGTTTGTTTGTTTGTTTTTTCATAAACTTGCGGAGAAGCAGTTTTGTTCTATTCCCACCATCCAAGTTATTACTTACGTATGAGAAAGGGAAGTTGAACCAATAAGCCTGTGTGACACAGTTAAAAACTGAAGTAAATTTAATCATATTATTTCCCAGTGTAAATTTGCCTAATGTAATTCAGGCAAATAGTTATTGTATGTTTGCATTAACTTCAAATCGGTTTCTGGCTGGGCATGTCTGAGCGTTGGGCCATCCGTCATGTTCATGCTCTAACCTCAGGATGAGGAGGGCATTGTGTTCTCGCACTCTCTCTTTGTGTTCTGGCACTTAGGATTTGCAAAGAGGAAAATTCACATGGAAGGAAAGAAAGCACAGCTACAGGTTGGGCAGAGAACAGATTCATAGCAGCCCTATAGAGAAGGACTTGGGGGTGTTGGTCGATGAGAAAATGAACATGAGCTGGCTTCAGTGTGCGCTTGCAGCCCAGAAAGCCAAATGTATCCTGGGCTGCATCAAGAGGATTGTGACCAGCAGGTCGAAGGAGGTGATCCTGCCCCTCTACTCTGCTCTTGTGAGACCTCACTTGGAATACTGTGTGCAGTTCTGGTGTCCTCAACATAAAAAAAACATGGAACTGTTGGAACAAGTCCAGAGGAGGGCCACGAGGATGATCAGGGGCTGGAGCACCTCCCATATGAAGACAGGCTGAGAAAGTTGAGGCTGTTCAGCCTGGAGAAGAGAAGGCTGCATGGAGACCTCATAGCAGCCTTCCAGTATCTGAAGGGGGGCTATAGGGATGCTGGGGAGCGACTCTTCATCAGGGACCATAGCGACAGGACAAGAGGTAATGAGTTTAAACTTCAACAGGGCAAGTTCAGGTTAGATATAAGGAAGAAGTTCTTTACTGTGAGGGGGTGAGGTGCTGGCACAGGTTGGCCAAAGAGGTAAATGTTCCGTCTCTGGCAGTGATCAAGGCCAGGTTGGACAGAGCCTTGGGCAACATGGTCTCATGTGAGGCATCCCTGGCCATGGCAGGGGGGTTTGAACTAGATGATCTTAAGGTCCTTTCCAAATCTAACTATTTTGTGATTCTATGAAAAAAAAAAATATTTCAGGCCAGTAGGTTTAGCAGATCAGACAGAAGAAATGCAAGATGCTTTTTTATTGTTCCATTCTTGTCAGGTTTGTTACATTTCATGTTACGACCAGAGTAAAGCACTACCTTCCCAGAACACACTGCATGCTTTTGGCATGTACACTTGCATAGCTATCAGTCTTCTCAGCTAAAGGCTTTGGTAATATTTACTGCATAACCATAGAAAAGTGTCTTCCCAGATATTAATTAAGCAAAAATAATGCTGTATTATGCTTGCTTCTCTTTCAGTCTTGTTTTCAGTCATTACAATGCAAGACAAGAGTCTTGTCTGGGAACTAAGCCAACAACAGTAATTACAATGTAGCCAAAAAAATGAAAGGCAAAGTGTTGAGAACTGTAGTACATGAAGACAAAATTATACACATTCTCTTTTGACAGGAATGTAGCAGCAACAGGTTGGGACACCCATTCCTTTTGGATGGATCCTAGGCAGTAAAAGTGCCTGAACCTGAGAGATGTTATCATTCTGAACCATTCTTTAAAGGGATCGGTGGTGTTACAGCTTGTAGGAGGTCTGGCTCACACTGAGCCATGCAGCGAGATCTGTGGTACACGCTTCATTCTCCAGATCACCACTGCAGTGGGGGGCAGAAACATGAGAAAACTCATTACCAGCACGGCAGCAAAAATGACCAGCAGTATTTCCCACGGGGCCAGGTTCGTTTCCACCATGATCTTCTCCATGTCAAGAGTCTGAAGCTATAAAGCAAAAATTACACTGCATTACTTTCTTGTAAGTAGGCATTACAACTGTATAGATGTGTTTGGTTTAGCCAGCATAGGGCTGTCAGCTTCTTTGGCTAGTTATTCTCATCCTGAAGAGCACACCCATTTTGCCTGGCTGGAGGCCCCAGAAGAGCTCCTTCTCTCTCCTCTTTCCCCCCCCTCTCCTGCACTGTCCCCTTGAGAGCCTCCATGGAGCATCATCATGCCTCTCCCATGTGGCTCAGTTGCAGTTGCTGATGCTGATGTAAGATACTACATCCACTTAGAAATGGCATTTGTTACTCTTGGGAAAGCCTTTGTCACCTTCTATTTAAAATTTTTATTTTTAAGCCCCTCACCTCTCACTTCAATACAAAAAGTTATTATTAGACTGTCATGTATCAAAACTAAAGCTGAGAATAAAAGCATATGATGGAAAGAAGAAAGAACTGTAAGTTATTTGCCATTGTGGTGGGCTGACCCTGGCTTGATGCCATGTGCCCATCAAAGCTGATCTGTCACTCCCCTCCTCAACGGACAGGGGAGAGAAAATAAAAGGCTTCTGTGTTGACATAAAGACAGGGAGAGATCACCTGCCAACTACCATCACAGAAAAAAACAGACTTGATTTGGGGAAATTAGTTTAATCTATTATCAAAGAAAGTAGGATAGTGAGAAATAAACCCAAATCTTATAAACACCTTCTCCACATCCTTCTCTTCTTCCTGGGCTTAACTTTGTTCACAAAATCTCTACCACACAGAGGTACAGGGAATGGGGGTTGTGGACAGTTCATCACATGTTGTCTGTGCTTCTCGTTCCTTCCCAGTGGGAGGACTCCTCACACTCTTCCCCTGCTGCAGGCTGTGGACTCTTCCACAGGAGATGGTCCTCCATGAACTTCTTCAAGATGAACCCTTCTAGCAGCTCCTCACAGAAGCCCCCTCCGCCCTGCAGTCCCCTCCCTGCTACCAAAACATTGCTACGCAAACCTAATACAGCCATCAGAATGTGTATTTTAGCTCTTTCGGTTTTCCCCTATAAAGTAGGCTTTAGAAACTCTTTGCTTACCAGAGAGCTTCAGTGGACACTCAATAAAGAATTATGTGCTTTGAAAATGACTACAAATATAATGAAACTGTTAATTCTGTTGAAAACTGGTTTCTATTTGAAATGGTTTAATCAAACAAATATGAGCTTAAGATTCAGAGAGCTTTAGTAGCTAGGCAGTGGGGTATACATGCAGAAGAGAAACCGAGCTAATACATCTCTTTAGTTTTGTGAAATAGAAAGAGTAGACAGACTAGTAAGGAGTTAAATCATGCTGGTTTTGAGACAAGGAGACAGAACTGTTAATAGGTGTGTCTAAGTGCTCAGTGCAGTTCCTTCAGCACAGGACCTACACACCTGAAAGCCGTAATGAAGCCAGAGCAGTTAGACTGAATAAAAGGAGATGGTCATGAACTGAGTGGGTTTTTCCTCCCATTACAATTTTTTGACTTTGTGCTCTAGCAGTAAGGAAGTCACTCGGAATTTGCCTTGAGTTCACCAGAGGAGACCTCAGATTTGTCTGTTGCTTTTCAAAGCAGGTGACGTACTGTTTCCATCATTAAATCCTGATCATTATGTAAAGGAGAAGACTGAAACAGGGTTGATGTAATGTGCTTATTTAGGGAGAGTAGAAGAATTTGTGTATTAGGTGGGAAGCTAATGGGTTGCCAGCGATTTTGTACTTGGCTTAATAGTGTGAAAATCACATTCAGGTAAATTATTTGTTGTGGCCTGTGAGGAGAAGCACCAGAAGTCTGGTTACAAATCATGGAGGATTTAAGTAGTGATGATCTTTGATGCAGGCTAGCAATCTGTTAGACAGACTCTAGATGGTGTTCCTTTTGGCTGCTAAATGAACTGGACGCTGCTACCCAGTCAAACCATGGCTTTCTAGTCTCAGCCTTTCTTATGTGTTTACCTTCTCTTGCTAGTGTGTTATCAGTTCAGCCTTTTTTGAGAAAGAAATACACAAATATTGGGAGTGGAAAGCGTGTTCTCTCTTCAGACCCAGCTGTGTCTGCCCAGCCAGGGCTGGTGTCTGCCTTGCAGCAGTGCCAAGACATTTCCAGAAACCTCAACTCTCATAAGACTGTGTCAAGTTTTACAATTAGATTAATGTCAACTCTTGCAAACTGGGGAGAAGCATGGAGGACATGGGTGAAGCTTCCTGAGCTCAGAGCCTGAAGTAAGCCTGTGGCTGCTGCTTCTTTGCCGGCTAAGACATGTATCTGTGGTGGGAGAGTTGCTGATGCTGGAATGCTGCCTACCAGGTTTGCTCCCCTGAGCTGGCTGTGTCTGATTTCACCCAGCTACAAAATTGCTTGGTTTTGCTTGTTTTTCATCTGCTCAGACTGGCAGCTCTGACTAATGTGGACTGAGCTCTGGGGCTTGTTGGGCTATGTGATACTCTCACCTTTCTTGTGGCACTTGTGATTTAATTCTCTTTTCCCTGGTTAGTGGATGAAGGTATGTGTGAGGCTGTTTAAAACCAGGTGAGGCAGCTGTGGGAGAAGGGAGGTTTGTGCTCAGGAACTGCCTTCTGCTTCTTCATTGTTGCACTGGGGATACTGGAGGTGGGCCTCTTATTCTCTAATTAAATTTTGTCTGTCAATAAATTCCTTTAAAAATCTCGATTTCTGACTTGCT